TTTCACCACCACCACCACCACCACAAAAAGAAAGTGAAAGGAGCTAAGAAGTTATACCAGATACAGAGCCAAAATAAAAACAAATATTGCTAGCTGACCTAAGACTTGGAGGCATGAAGCACTACTAGAATAAAAGAGACATGTTTAAGGACAAGTCAATTTACTAGAAAAGATATAGCAAATGTAAGTTCCTATGCATCTAAAAACATGACCTCAAAATACATATAACAAGTAATTAGGTTCCTGAAAAAACTAAAAGGAGAAATATACAAATCCATATTCACAGTAAAATACATTTAACACTTAACGTTAAGGCACCATTTTATAATGAACAGGAAAAAGAAAAATGGGTTAGATGCTTTTCAGTGAGGTACACAAAAGATCTGAACAACACAACTCGCATAGTACTAAACCTTATTAAAATATATGAAAGATAATAGTGTTTGCAAGTGTATATGAACTTTTATCAAAATGCTTAGTCATTAAAGTTTCAACAAAGGTTTAAAATTATTTAGTATATGTTCTATGACCATAGCAAAATTAGGATATCAGTACCAAAAAGATAACTAAAATATCTTCAATGTTCAAAAATAAAGCAACAAAGTTGGGCACAGTGTCACACACCAACAGTCCCAGCCACTTAGGAAGTTGAAGCAGAAGGATCCCTTGAGCCCAAGAGTTTGAGAGCAGCCTGGGTAACACAGGGACAGCATGACTCACAAATAAAGAAATAATAAACAAAAATTAAACCAAATAAAATTTGGAAAATAATTTTACTTGAGTAAAAATAAACATACATCAAAACTAGGGGGTAGTGCTAAACTGTGCTTACAAGATCATTGAAGTTTTTTTAAAAAGGGGGGGGGTACAGCTGTGCCTAGAATGCTCAAGGCCCCGATATGATTCTCAGCACATAGAGTTAAGAACAGACCAAGTTTCCAATTTTTATAATTACCTGCTAAATCAAAATGTATTATGTTAGAGTATGTAGTGGTTGATACACTGCAGTTCTGGCTGGTGGGGGTCCCATCCTGGGACACAACTGGTTCTGCCCCCAGAGTGACTCAGCACAAAGAGACCATATAAAGGGGCTGTAGTAGTCAATGTAAACTTTGTCAAAGGAATGTCAGTCTTCTTTTTCGGCTTGGACTTCACCATCTGGCTTGCAGCACACACTCTTTGGCCTCCGGCTTGGATCCTTCCCCTTCCATTGCAGATTCTTCAGTCTTTGCAGACCCATTAGCAGAAGAATAGACACTTGCACGGAGCACAGCAGTGAGCTTCAGACCTTGGGACTGAATTCAGTCTGGGGTGTGCAGACCCTCTGCACACTCTCTCATCTGACTCTGTGGCTGACTGTTGTAAGCCAATCTTGTAATTCCTTATACATTGTATATCTTGTGTTAATATCTGTTCCTTGTATCTGTTTCTCTAAGTAAAACCCTGACCAATACATCTTTACTCAGTCACCACACAACATTTTTTAAAGAACTGACTTATATTAAACCATTTAATTACTATATGACAATCCTTAAGTGATATTTCCTTTCTTCTACACATTTTCAAAACAAGGATAAATTTTAATGGATAACATTTATTTCGTCATAGCAAAAAAACATATGAAATAAATAGTATTCTTAATTTATTTATAAGCTACATATTACCCTATAGAATGTTACTTTGCCTTCATGGACTTTTTTCATGATAAGCCACAAAGCGTACATACACACACCCTTGCACTCTAACATTGAACTATATTCTTTGCCCCTCACACAAGAACTTTTTATGCAACTTGAGAACATAATGTTAAGTGAAATAAGTCAGGACACACCCGATCTAATATCACTAGAAATAGAGAAGTTAAATTATTCCCCCCCAAAAAAAATTATTCCCCCAAGCTAGTTTTTTTTTTTAAATTTCAATTCATGTGCTAATTTGTTTCACTTATACTAATAGTTTATCTGAATCCTATTTCCAACACTTTCAACTCTCAGAACTAAGCAAGTTAATTTACTTCTCTGACCTTGTTTCCCCAGCTGTAAAATACAATAATATTTATTTCACAGAGGTATTATTAACACTAAATCTCAGAACACGCACTAAGCACTCTGTAGAGTATCTGAAGAAGGGACTCAACAAATGATAGTTGTTATTTATACCACAACTGAAATAAAAGAACTTGCCAAGTCTCCTGAAAACTAGTGTATAACCCTATACAAGTAATAAATTTTCAAAATAAAAACATGCTATCCTTAACTAGATCTGTTTCGATGTTTTTAAGAGTCAAGGGAAATTTTTTTTTCTGCCTTTGGAAGAAATAAAAACATCTAAGTCCTTAGACAACAGAAATAAGATTTCTTTTAATGACTTCACAAGATGCCTTTACACAGTGAAAATATAACTGCCTTTAATTTAAAAATTCATTCAAATCTCTGATGCTCTGCTTTGTATTATACGTTAGGTGCAGAAGCAGCACACTGTAGTTGCAATCACTGACTATGGAACCACACTGCCTGGGTTCAGATCTTGCCTCCACCTACTTGTACAACCTTTGGTAAGTTTTCACCTCTTCACATGTTTCCTCAAGTGGAAAAAGAAGACTCTGCACAGGATTGTTGTAAAGAATAAATCCATTAAAATAAACTGTTCATGATGGAACACAGTTTACAGAACATACATTTTAAGTTTACTGTATTTTCTTTATTTTATTATATTCACTTCAAAATACCCAGATTTGCCAATATGTATCTCCTACCTTATGATAATTTCAAAAAAAGTTAGACCTGAAGTGAGACTTATTTTGGGATGCTCCTTAATATGACTGGAAGTATAAGAACTTCTCTGGCAGCAAATGCTCAGCAGTTACTTTTATAGATTTTAGGGTAAAAGAAACACACTCCCTTTCTTACATTTCCTGACACAATTGTAACATTCTTATTTACTAATAGAAGTTCAGAACCAATAATTTTATGATTTAGTCATGGCAAACACCAACCTAGCACACATAAAATTCTAAAATTCAAGCTTCATAATCTTCAACTATATTCTTTCAAAGAAAAGTTGGCAACTCTCAAAATATTTACTTTTAAAGAACATAACTGTAGACATACAATAATGTCATGTAATATAATACAGTAAGTACATATTTGAAAGTTACATATGTAGTAAATGCTACTTTGTTAATGTACTGAGAAGATTGTAGTTGATGAACTCTTCCAATTTCAAATAGTTCCTTCTAATATGCAAAACTAGTTTCTACCTATTTCAAATCAGAGGCCAGGAATACAAGAAGCAAGTCAAATTAAAGTTGCCATTCCATGAAATCACTTTGCACTTGCACTCTTCCTTAAAACATACAACAGATGGCTTGGATGGGACCTGTGATATTGACATCTAACTCCTACACCAGAAGTTTAAAGGACTGACATCCCAGAAATGGCCTAACTCAAGATAAGAAAGGTATCTTTATTATATCAAACACGGAGGCACCATCCCAATTTCCAAATGACTCTGATCCTAATCTCCTAATCTGGATATACAAAATGAACAAGTTCAGATTAAAAAAGCAGTTATCCTAGAAAATCTGGAGTTCAGTATCTAAGGATCACATTTCAACTTCACTTTAAGCTTAGAGGTTACCTGGCTCAGCCTCAAATGAAAAGGTGGGTTCCAGCATCTAGCAGGTACTCAGTCACAAAGTAGCCATCAGTAGGCAACACAGGCCAGATCAGACCACAGGTCACTTGGCACCCTTCAAAAGGCCAGATCTTACTCAAGGTCTGACAGCCAACCCTTGACCTGGTGAATGGGAGGACGGGCAAGCAGTCCAGAGAGTTACAGATTATTCTACTTACTACTTTTTTTTTCTTAATTGATTTGACTAGAGAAATCAAATTGCGGGAAATGTGAAGAATTTTTGACATATAAGTGGAAAACTGTGAGTACGCTTCATACAACTAGTCCTTTTACTTGTTTATTACATTCACCTCAAGACACCCAGATCTGCTTGTTTTATTCAGAAAACCATCTGTGACCCTGTTATCTAGTTATCTTATGGAGACGATAATCCATAAGGTAACTAGAACTTTTCCACGGGAGCTGCACAGATCTTTAACCTTTACTAGGCCACTCATTCGTGTGCATGTAAAACTTAAATTAGATCTGCTCCTGTCTCAGATAAGCTAAATAATGAAATCTGCTATAGAAAAAATAGAACTTTGCAAAAACACATTGGATAGTCGAGCAAAAGTTTTAACTCTTAAATTGAGGGTCCAAACCAAACCGGTGTTAGAAGTCAAATTCATTTAAAAGACTTCACTATTTGTATCTGCGTTTCTCGACTAGGAAGCTGCTCTAAATCTCTACAAATCCTCCTCCTTAGTCCTAGGAGAATTCTTCCGTAATGTTCCTCCTTCTGTAATACTCCGATCTCCTTTCAAAGCTCCCAACCAAAAAAATGATTCCGATACCCTCCGTCAGTCTCCCAACTTCACCCGCTGGCGGGGATGCGGATGGACGCACAACTTCTCAGCCGCCCGGACTTTTCGCCCCTGCTCTGGCTCTCCTGCTGGCTGTGCTCCGGGTCCCGGCAGACCCCCCCAGGGGTCCCCGCCTCCCGAGCCCAGCCGGCTCGGACGCCCCTAGCCGTCGCCCACTGGCCGGCCCCCGAAAGCTCCGACCCCGTCCGTTCTCCCCAGCCGCCCGGGCCCCAAGCTCGCCTTCGCCCGCTCCCCAAATCCTGAGCACAGCAACTGCAGCTCCCGCGTTCGCCCTGGCCTGGCCCGCACCCGGCCGCTTCCCGGAGCCCCGCGGGAGCCCCGGCGCCTCCCGCAGCTGGGCTGGCGGCGCTCTCCGCGGCTGGGCCGCGACTCCGGAGGCCTCGCGTCCCCCTCGCAGGCCCCGCCTGGGCCTCTAGACTCGGCGACCCTCCACGGCATCCCTGGCCCAGCTGTGCCTCCTCCGGAAAACTGGGCAGCGCAGGCCCAGGCCCCCGCACTTACTCGGGAAGGTAGGTAGAAGAGAAGGAGCTCCACTTGTGCAGCGCGTAGGGCAGAAGCCGGCACTCAGGAACCGCAGCGACAGCCCCGCCAGCCGCCATCTTGTCAGCGCCGTAGCGGCTGCGGCCGAGCGCCGACAGCGCCGGGAGGAGGAGGGGGCGTGGCCTGCTCTTAAAGGGGCTCGTCGCGGCGCTCTGCGCCTGCGCCGGCGCCTGCGGCCCCACGTCGGGGGTTCCCACGCTGCCGGGACGCCGCTGTCCGCCTGAAGCAGGTCTGCGACGTTATCCCTGGAGGAGATCTTCTGTGAAGCCGGGGAGGGAGAAACTCGAAGACTTTCCTTACAGCGGAGGTAAAGACAAAGGTGAACGCTAGTATGGAAAGAAGCAAATCGCAGTTCTGAGCCAGGAAGGGAAAATGAAGAGCAACTTAGAAAAGAGATGCCTTTACCACTTGGCAAAGCATAGCCCTAACCGGTTTATAAACTTCGTAGGGAATTCGAGAGAGTGCAGTTGCTTTTGCGCTTTTCTTCTGGAGTTGTCCTGGGACAGAAAAGAAAAAAGATGTCTTTGGTACGCGTTCCAGGGCCTGATGGAGACGAGACAGGAAAAGGAGATACTAGTGTATCCGTTCTGTTGCCAGTCTGTGAAACATTTCTTCATTGTAAACACATCTTGTGAGCCTCTCTTGATAGTCTTGGGATACTGGTTTGCCAGAAAATTCCTTAGAGCTGGGAAGCTGCGTGTCATTTACCCAGTTGTTACTGCCCACTGCTAATTCTGACAGAAATGTAGCCCAAATTTCAGAGAGAGAGAGAGAGAGAGAGAGAGCCCTAGGGCTCTTGGGCTCTGATCACCATATGGGCACCCTCCTATCGTCTTAAAAATAAAAAACTTGGTTTAAATATCTGGCAACTTTAGATAACTTGCCATTAAGTACCTGTTTATCAGGCTTATGATTATTTATTTTATGACTTAGCAACTGCATTTACCAGAGTATTTGTCACTCTTTGAGAACTTTGACTCCTGAAAGCCCGGATGGTATCATCATCTTTAGCTTATGAATGGAAAAATTCAGGCAAAGAATTGCTCAGTGAATAACCAGGTAAATCAATAATTATATTCTCCATTATGACCCTAACCAGCCCCAGACTCCCTCCACTCCAAATTTAGTTTTGGCCTCCATCAGGATATCGGATCAAGAACACCAGATAGAAAGGTCATAATGTGTAAACCTTTAAGGTTACCTGTACAGCATGTATTGTGCCATGTTAGAAAAGTTTTTGATCCTTGTGGGAATGCTATTGCTTTAGTGATCTGAGTTAAGGAACTACCTGGGTCTGTGGTAAAGGGAACAGGTGAATCCCAGAGATAACCCATGGTTATCTTAGAGGAAAAGAGATAATTTAAAGAGTAAAAAATTAAGGTGGAGACTCACTCCAATTTGTTAAACTCACTAATCAATATTTGTTAAGGCCACTCTTAACTTAATCACTTCCCTTTTTTTTTAGACATAGAGTTATGTTTTTGAACACCTAAAAAAACATATAAGGGTCATTGTGGTACACAACTGTAATTCTAGCTACATAGGAGGGTGAGGTGGAAGGATCTCAAATTCAAGGGCAGCCTGGACAATTTAGACTCTCTCTCAGAGTAAAACCACAGAAGGATTGGGGTAGGAGTGTAACTCAGTGGTAGGCCACTTGTTAACATGTGTTAGACCCAGGTTTAATTCCCAACACCTCAAAAGGAAAACAAACATAATTTCTTCCTAGACTTGAAAGTTCACAATGCCTTTTTTTTTTTTTTTTTTTTTAAATGTATTTAGGACAAGGTCTACACGGTCTCACATTGTCAATCGGACTCAGAGATCCTCCTGTTTTCAGCCTCCCAAGCACTGAGATTACAGGCCCAAGCCCAGTCTCAATCACCATCTCAGTGCACCCCAGGGGCGGAGCCAGCAATGATTGAACCCTGGCCGCTAGCACTCTGCTTAACTAGGTGCTTTAGTTTGCTGAGCTGTCTGGCCAGCCCTTTAGAATAGCGACTTTCTATTCTCTGAAGTGCTTGACAGATGCCCTTCATTACCTGCTGTATCTCTCCAACATTCACTATTTTCCTCTGCACTTAACTCCAACAACACTAAATTGTATGAGAGTGTTACCTTTATGTGCTTCATTCTCTCCTTCTAGGACTTAGTCTAAATCACAGTCCTGGAACATTTTTCCTGTATTACCCTGCCTAACTCTTGCTTATCCTTCAACTTATCCTTTTATTGGAAATCTTTCCTCATCACCTATTGTGAAGTTAGATAACATTTCCCGTATTTTCCTTTAGCACCCTGAGTTCCCCCCCTTAGCTTAGCAGGCATCACAATATGTTTTCATTTCTTCTTTATGTCTTTCTTTCTCAAAGATAACTCCCATAAAGATGAGTCATGCACACCCACTTCACAGTTGCATTTTTGTAGTCTATACATAGTAGATGCTCAATAAATATTTATTGGAGGATGAATGAATGGTGCTAAAAGAGAACTTAAACTAGAGACTTCTGTGTTACATGACTGCCAGGTAGAGTATACAGACCCAAAAGAGCATGGTTTTTTTTCTATAGCACAAATTTCACAAATGTAAAATAATTCAAAGCATTCCTAGGAAGGTATGATAGTGCTGTCCTGTAATTTGGAAGGTTGAGGCAGGAGAATCACAAGTTTGAGCCAGCCTTGACAGTTCAGCAATTTAAGGAGACACTGTCTCAATAAAAAACAAAAAAGGCTGAAGCTGTATCTCAGTGGGAACATTCTGAATCCACTCATAGTATTGCTACTAACAAATATAAAGCATTTATATGTTAACATAAATACAGACATGATATTTTGAGCCCAAAATCTATAAATATTAAGATAAAAGTGAAATTAACTTCAGTATTTGCAGATGGGGCTGGGAGGATGGGTCAGCAGTGCCTGGCATGCACACAGTCATGAGTTTGATCCCCAGAACCCCCCACCCCCCAAAAAATATATATATCTGCGTGAGGCTGAGCTGCAGAAGTGATGAACCTATGGCACATATGCCACAATGGGCTGTTACAATTGAAAGCTCTATAAGGATAGCCACCACTGATGCTAGACTCTCAGATCTATAGGTACAGGTTTACTTTCTGCTTTGAGGGCCTGACTTTTAAGTGATAGGGTGTATTGTAAGGATACACAGGGATGGCCTGAAAACTGACAGTAGTCATATAGTCTTCCTAGTGATTTTACATTTCAAAGATAGGGATGTAGTGAATGACCTTATGGGAAACATGAGGATTATCAATGGACTCTCATTTTTTAGAGATCAATACCAACTGTGGTGACACAATAGCTCTAGCAACCCAGTCATCTTCATCATCCCCTAGAGGCCTTTTCAGTATGTTTCTCATGTTAAATACTTCCCAGAAAGACCGTTGGCAGTTTTGCTATTTACAATCTTGGTGCGATCACAGAGTTTTTGAAAGTCAGTGATATGCCAAGCCTTGTCCCAGATGCCACGAAGACAAGAGTAAACAGACAAGTCTACATCATGGAGCTTGCATCCTGGTGGAGCAACATGTAATAAGTAAGTCAACTAGATAATTTTAGTCTGTGCTACATGTTAAAAAGGGACTAAACCAGGGTAATTTTTAGATTGGGTGGTAAAGGAAGCTTCTCTGGGGAGGTAATGTTTGAGCTAATACCTGTACAGTGAAAAAGAGATGGCATGAATTAAGAAACATTCTAGGCAGAGATTAGTACTCTGCATCAGTCAAGGTTTTACTAGAGAAACAGATATGACATATGATGTGCAAATGTATAAGAAATTACAAGGTCAGCTTACAGTTGTTCACCACAGAGTTGGATGAAGAAGTATGCAGAGGGTGTCTGCACACTGGAGACTGAACATTTCAGTCCAAGATCTGGAGTTCACTGCAGTGTCCATGCAAGTCCGTGTCTGGAGGCCGATGAGTCTGCCAGAAGGCTATAGGATGCAAGGCAAAAGCTGAAAAGTCTGTGCTAGAACCCAGGAGATGATGTCCAAGCTGAAGGCAAAGACTGGAGCTCCTCCAAAGAATAGAAGCCCATTGTCCTTCCTCGTTTCCTTTTTACACCATCCAACTGATGGCAGGTCTGCTACACCCTAGGGACGGTATTACTGAGCCAATTTAGTGCAACTATTACACTTCTTAGGTTGAGAACAGTCAACCACTATATACTCCTAGAGACACGATGATTTATCCAAGATGAAGCTAGTCAGTGATAAAACCAGACTCTTTGGCTCTAAAGCCCAACTTGTTTGTTGTCACCTCATTTCCCCTCAATGAGCCAGTGTATGGAAAAGATTTAGTAAGCTGAAAAGTACTGCTCAAATATAAGGTGATGTTCAATAACAGTAATAATAAAGAGCAAAACACAGCTTTAGATGGAACACAGCAATTGGCTAAGAGCAAAAAGTATGGTTTTCATTGTTAAGAAAGGGATTCTATAGTTCTTAGTTCACATACTGATATAATAAGATACCTGAGACAGGATAATTATAAACAACAGAAATTTATTTCTCACAGTTGTGGAGGCTTAACAGTCAATATCTAGTGTGAGTAGGTTCACTGTCATTGAGGGCCAAGGCTTTCTGCTTCCAGAGATGCCACTTTGTTACATCTTCCAGAGTAGAATGTTGCTGTATCCTCACGTGGCTAAAAAAGTAGAAAGGTGAAAAAGAGCATATCTAGTTTCCTCTAGCCCTTCTATAAAAGTACTAATCCATTCATGACACTGGAGCCCTCAGAGCTTAACTCTCCCCGAAAGGCCCTGCTTCTTCATCCTATTGCATTGGGACTAAGTTTCAGCATGAGTCTGGGATTGAATCCAAACATTCAAACCATAGCAAAGGATTAAAAACACTCAAAGTAGGCTAGAATAAATCCATAACTCTGTGCATGGTTAAGATAGCACCCATAATTCATTGGTCAGGGAAGTAAAATCTTCAGACATACAAGTCTGTAAGGGTCTTTCTCTACTAGGATCACTCAGACTTCACGATCTCTTTAACAGCTTTCCATAGTCGGGACAGCTGAAGCACAACACAGCAGCCAGTGTGTTACCTTCTAGGCAATGTCT